ATCAGAAGTAATATTTATAAACTCAGATGGGATTCCTCTAAGAGTAAAGGATGACAGATGTTTTAAAGTCTCTAATACCCACACAGGGAGCCGAGTTAAAATTTGGTCAACAGGGAACTCCCTGGCGGTCCAGTGGTTAGGACTCTGTGCTTCCACTGCAGGAGGCATGGGTTCCTCCCTGGTTGGGGAACTAAGATCCCAAAAGCCTCAGGCATGGCCAAAAAAAAAAAAAAAATTGGTCAACAGAATTATTCTGGGAAATAGCTTGAGCAGGTTTCCAAGAATGAAGCGTAGTCAGAGGCTTTCCCTGCAGTCCCCACAGCCACGATGACCCTGGGAGCCCTGGTGCTGCTGGGTAGCTTGCAGGACCCGTTTACAGTTTATAATGAGCGAGCCCACCTGGTTCTGAGAAGAAAGCTGGACTGAAAAGATAAGAGCTGAGGGCCTCCCGTCTTGTGCGGAGGGGCTGCTAAGGTCTGAGGGAGCTCTCTAGGCTCCCTGGAGAGAGACTCAGCAGTTGGAAGAGACAAAGGCTGGGGGGAGGGGAATAACCTTTGTTCTGAGGATGACAGGGGTAGGAAACGTTCCCCTCCCTCTACCCTAACCAGACCAAAACCGAGGGGGAGTGAGCCCCATTTATCCCAGATAGCTGACCTATCTTATCCTACTGAGAGTTAGAAAAAAAACCCATCAATCCCCTCCCCCTAACACTCGCCCACCAAGAAGGGAAAGAAAAGGGGGCTGGGCAGAGGGACTGTGCTATTCTACCTTCTAGATTTTCACACGTTGTATTCTTAACCTTTCCATATTCTAGAGATAATCTAGAGATAACTCTAGAGATAATCTGTTAGGAGCTAAAGTGTTCTGGGATTACACCTCTTCTTGTTTTCTTGGTGAGTCTTAGTTTTGTCATTCTTGTTCCATTAACTTAGAGGGTGAAGTGAATTTGAATGGGAAAGATAAAGGCTATAAGGATGTTTTCCTTTTTAACCTCGGAAGTCAGATTTCGTTTTTGGTGACAACACTCACTAGTCTTGTGACTTGGGATAATTTAACCTCTATGGACTTTGGTTTTTTCATACTTACAAGGGAATTATAGCAGGCTCTGATGATTCACAAGGTTATGAAAATTAAATGAGAAATTGTTATGCACTTTAAAAGCAATCCAGCACAGTACGCGTAGAAGTTGATTGTACTGGAGTCCAACGTTTTGTTTGGTAGAAATTGAACAATGGGTTGAAAGAGGAGCCCCAGTGATCGAGCTGTTTCTCTTCTTATTACAGCTATCTCTGAAGGGCACAAATCAGAAAGCACCATGCCTCCTAATAAAGAGGCCAGCGGTCTTAATAGCTCCCCTGCGGGGCTCATCTGTCTCCCTCCAATCTCTGAGGAGCTACAACTTGTGTGGACCCAAGCAGCCCAGACTAGTGAGCTGGATGGCAATGAGCACTTGCTACAAACCTTCAGCTACTTTCCGTATCCCAGTTTAGCAGACATTGCCCTTCTCTGCCTACGCTATGGGCTGCAGATGGAGAAAGTCAAGACTTGGTTCATGGCCCAGCGCCTCCGCTGTGGCATTAGCTGGTCATCCGAAGAAATTGAAGAGACTCGAGCCCGAGTAGTCTACCATCGGGACCAACTCCATTTCAAATCCCTTCTCTCTTTTACTCATCATGCAGGGCGGCCCCCAGAGGAGGTGCCTCCTTCTCCAGTGCCACCTCCAGAACAAGTTGGTCTTGGAATAGTTCCCCTGACTCTTGGCGAGCCCACCCAGATGAAAGGATTGAAGGTAGAGCCCTCAGAGCCCTCAGAGCCACTGAGTCACCAGAAAGCAAAGGAGCCCCTGATGGCACCTGGCAGTGGGGCATTCCCCCACCAATCACAATTTTGGCAGGATCTTCAAAGCAGTGGCCTCTCTAAGGAGCAGGCAGGCAAGGGTCCCGACCAGTCACACGGCCTAGGTACTGCTTCCTGGAACCACTCCACAGCTGTCCACCAGCCCCGTGCTCGGGATAAGCCTCCACCCGTCTCATTACTTGCCAGTAGTTGTAAGAAGGAGTCAGCATCTAATGTGACTCCTCCTTCCTCTACCTCTTCTTCCTCTTTCCAGGTACTGGCTAATGGAGCTACTGCCACCTCTAAACCCCTCCAGCCACTGGGCTGTATCCCACAGCCACTGTCACCCAATGAACAGGCACTACGCCCACAGCTGGAGCCAGCCTGGCCCCAGGGGCTAAGGCATAACTCAGCACCTGGTAGGGTTGGCCCTGCAGAGTACCTTTCCCCAGATATGCAACGCCAGCGAAAGACCAAGCGCAAAACCAAAGAGCAGCTGGCTATCCTCAAATCGTTTTTTTTACAGTGCCAGTGGGCACGGCGTGAGGATTACCATAAATTAGAGCAGATCACTGGCTTACCTCGGCCTGAGATTATTCAGTGGTTTGGTGACACGCGCTATGCCTTGAAGCATGGGCAACTAAAATGGTTTCGGGACAACGCAGTACCTGGTGCCCCTAGTTTCCAGGATCCAGCAATTCCCACACCACCACCTTCAACCCGCTCCTTGAATGAATGGGCTGAGACACCACCTCTGCCGATCCCCCCACCTCCACCAGATATACGACCCTTGGAAAGGTACTGGGCAACCCACCAACAGCTACGGGAAAGTGATATCCCTCAACTGAGTCAGGCATCAAGGCTTAGCACCCAGCAGGTACTGGATTGGTTTGACTCTCGATTACCTGAGCCAGCTGAAGTGGTGGTTTGTCTAGATGAAGAGCAGGAAGAGGAGGAGGAAGAACTGCCAGAAGATTATGAGGATGAAGAGGAGGAGGAGGAAGACGACGATGACGACGATGATGATGTGATCATCCAGGACTGAGGGTGCACTGGGGGAGGGGAGGTCTGTTACTAAAAGACGAACCAACTTAGTAACTGTTTAAACAAAGAAACCACATTTTTTTACTTACCTTGTGGCAAAGAACTGAAAAGCTTTGTGTTTTTGAGGGTGGGGGACAGCGGGATGTAGTAAGGGTGGACCAGGGAGGATGATCATGGAGGACAAAGCAAGGTGGGGATTGGATGGGCAGAAATCCAGGCCTCCAGCCTCAATGAGAAGAGTGCTATGGGTCTGGTCCAAACTATGAGGCCGGGAAAAGGCTCTTGCTCTCCTCGTATTGGCTGTTCTTTCCCCTTAGTGTACTACGGCCTACATCTATGGAGGACTAGAAAGGAGGTGTAAAGATTCCAGTACATCCCCCAGTCCCACCCCACCATTTTCCTTGGAATATAAGGCTGCCTTGCACCCCTTCTTTTCTCTCTGAGCACAAGTCCACACACAATGCAGCCAAGAATCTCAGTATGTCCCAGTCAATCACAAATACTTCCTCTTCCTTATACCAGCTTGACTTTATATGTTTTCCTGCTGCTTTATTGAGTCACACAGGGAGCAGAATGTTTTCGTTTCTAATACTGGACCACTATGCCTTGTACCTTTTTATCTTTCCCAAACCCCCATTCTGTTCACTATTTGTCTCAGGGTAAATCTTCCCCCCGGAGCTTGTGAAAAAGTTTAATAATTGGGTGGAGAATAATTTAGACTGGATATTTATTGGAGGTGGGAATTAGGGGAGATGTCCTTTAAAAAAAAAGTAGAATTAGAATTACAGAGGGGTAGAGAGGAGAAGGAATGGTTTCTACTGTTCGGAAGGACAGTGCAGGTAGGTTCCAGGTTTGGTTTTACAAACCTGACAGTCCCTCCTGCCTAGCTTGACATAGACTGATTTTTTTTATCTTTTTGGTGTTGGTTTAATGTGTCCAGAAAAGAGACTTTTCCCTCACTTTATACGATCTGTCTTGGAGACAGAGGGACCATGGTCCTTAACTGAATTAATTGATGTTTTAGAATGGTTTTCATCAGTTGGGGTCAGATATAAAGGTATCAGTGGGTTAACCATCTAGAAATAAAAAAGTGGAAAGCCCCAAATTGCTAGAATAATAATAAAAAGGCCAAAAATAAAATTCTCTCACCTCCACTTTGCCACTTCTATGGTTTAGAGATTAATGGAGCCAAATCCATTAACTTTCTGATTTAGTATACTTTTTATTTATTTTTGAAGCGGCAGGATATAGTGAGGTAAAGTAAAAGAACAAAAACTTGAAAAGTTAGTAGATCAGTATCTATCACTAGGCAGACTTTTTTCTGCACCTGCTACAGCACAGGCTCTTGCTCAGAAGAGAGGGAGTTTAGAAATGCCTTTAAAATAAATTCAGTTTCAGAAAGGGTAGTGGGATCCTATTCAGCTACAAGGTCATTCCCAAGACCAAATTTATTTCTGGCAGATGCTATCTTTACATTTTTCCAATATTTTTGCTTAAGGTATGCCTGCCAGTGGCCTACCCATTTAATCCCTCATTTCTACCCCTTAGTACCCAAAGAAGAATAAATGTTTGATCTCAGTGGTAGTGTTCTTTGCCCATTCCACCATTTGAGAGCTTGTAATACCAATAGAGTTGCAGTAGCAATAAAAGGACATCCTCTTTATTTCATTATCTGTGTACTTTAGTAAGCCTGTGTCTCCAACCGTTACCAAACAGAAAGGAAAATCAACATATTTAATAGTAACTAGGCACAGAGGAAACAATAGGCAAATAGAAAAAGTATAATAAATTAGGGCAAGGAACAGTGTTGTGGCTTGTTAACATCGGCAGTGGGAGAATATATCCAAAGCTAAAAAGTGAAATCCAGAAATAAAACATGGTTAATAAGTATATCACCCCACCCACCCACCCCCAATGATGCCAAGAATTGTTTTTATAACCTTGTTTCAAGTTGCAGGAAATAAGGGAGCTATCTGTATCTTGTGGGAGAGATATAAACATCTTCCTGAAGCTCTGACCTGATCATTTTCATAGGAAGTAATACAGGGTGTATAGGGTTAAGATTGAGAGAGAGAAGGTACAGAGTGAAACCAGGAAACAAGGTAGGGGTACATTTTCCAAGGCCATCACACCTAAATGAGTATGGGATGCTACCGTCCGTCCTTCAGCAGTATGTATAGATCAGATCTTGAAAATGGTCTATCTGGGAGTGTTCCATGCTTCTCTCCCCCTGGCTAATCCCATCTGCCTCTGTTGGTAGAGATTCTGCAGCACAGGACAGGAAGGCAGTTAAGGGTGTTTGTAACAAAAAGGGCGAGTGTTTGTAACAAAAAGGGCAAGTAAGGCCCTCTCAAGTCATTGTATGAAGTTTATCGTGACAGTAAACCGCTGCTGTTGCTTCCCCATAGTTTTCTCCCTTTCATGAAAACTAACTTTTCCAAACTAAGATTTGATACATCTAATGTGACAAAGGCTTTGTTGCTACTTATGAAACTGGAGCATTTCCGTGGTTTATGGTGATAAAGCCGAATATTTGAAAATCAAACAGTTTTGGGAAGCCTGGAACATGACTACCATACCCAGAGATGATTACCAGGGAGGCAGAGTTCTTAGGCCTCTGGGGAAGTGGTACTTTCTTCAATAACTCTTTTTCTAACTTTATTATGGAAATTTTCAAAAAATACAAAAACAGTAGTATAATGTACTCATATGTACTCATCACCCAACTTCAACAATTAACTCATGGCCAATTTTCTTTCATTTCTACTTTCTCACACTGCCCCTTTCCACTAGATTAAGCTAAAGCAAAATTCAGACAATCATTTAATTTTCTATCCATAAGTATTTTAGTATGCATCTCTAAAAGATAAAGACTATTTTTAAAAACATAACCACAATAGCATCATGCCTACAAAAAAAACACTATTAACAATTCCTTAATATAAAATGTCCACTAAGTATTCAGTTTTCCTCAACTGTCTCATAAATGGTTTTTACAGTTTGTTCCAATCAAGATCCAACTGGAGGCCATTTATTTGCAGATGGTTTATGTGTCTTAAGTCTTTTTTTCACCTGTAGATTAATCCCTCGATTTACGAGGGTCTTAGAGGGATGTTATTTCCCCAGCGTTGTCTGTTAAGGCTTAGACCCTAATTCCTTGCTGATGAAAATAAAGGGAATTTTGGAACATGAGAGCAAAATATTTACCTACCTTAGTAGGTCACCAGGAGCTTGGCCTAAATATCCTCAAAACCCAAGGTGTAAAAGTGAACTTAAAAGGCAAGACTGGACTTTTCATTTAATAGAGCTCCTTACAAACCTCTCTTCTCGTTCCCATGCCCTTTTCCTCTTGTTTTCTGGATCAGAATCATAGTCTCATAAATTTACAAAACATTATTCTGCTGTTGCTCTTTGGAGAAATGAAAATGGTTTTTCCTAGTTCAAGCAGTACCTCTATCCAAAATATATATTCCATTGAAAACCCCTTTCTGTGAAACTCTTGGGAATGTCATTTGTGTCCACATCCTTAGTTCACCCTGGCCAAGACCTCTCAGTTTAAAACCTTTCATTACTATGTGACCGAATTTTTTTTTTTTTTTTCTGTACGCGGGCCTCTCACCGTTGTGGCCTCTCCCACTGCGGAGCACAGGCTCCGGACGCGCAGGCTCAGCGGCCATGGTTCACGGGCGCAGCTGCTCCGCGGCATGTGGGATCCTCCCGGACCGGGGCACGAATCCGTGTCCCCTGCATCGGTAGGCGGACTCTCAACCACTGCGCCACCAGGGAAGCCCTGTGACCTAATTTTTAAACCCCAAACCAGGAGGGTAATCTGACAGTCATATTATCAGAGTGACACCACTCTGGAAAACTGTGTACCTGTGGTTACCACACTTGAAACCATGTCATTCTCCACTGGTTACATTCTATCACCTTAACAAGAGACCAGAATGAGGCATTAAGTGTGCAGGCCTAACTGTGTGAGTTTTTCATGAGCAGACCAGTTAGACTGGCCAGGGCTCACCTGTAGGGCTGGTAGCTGGAAACCAGGAAGACCCTCTAGTGTGGTTCTGCTCTCCCTCTGACCTGGAGGATGGAATTAAATAGTGAAAGATAACTACCTGGGGCAGTTTCTCAGTATTGTTATTTATGCATCAGGATAAATAAGTGGTTCTTAATCTGCAGTACACTACTCAGAAGGGAAAAGACTGTTAGCTCAGCAATTCAAGAGGTGGGTTATAATATAAAGTCCATTCTTTTACTGTGAGGATGGGGTGGTGACACAGAGGTCTGAGATTTGAGTTTAACTATGAGTAGAAAGATGTAGAGACAATATAAAGATTTTGGTGAGCTATGAAAGATGACAGCCCCTTATCACAAGGACTGGTAGCAGAGGTACCTTTTGGGAAAACATGAGGAGAATAAAGGATGCTGGTTTTATCATTCTCACTCAGCACTAAGCTCCCAGCAGTGCTGCAACATAGGGATCTCAAAAGAAACAAACAAAAAGCCAGTTTAATTCTACAGGCCAACCTTCTGGCTAAAGAGCAGAACTCTACTCCTGGTGACAGGATGAGTGATATTTAGGCACAATCCAAAGCCTGCCTTAACTGTGAAGGAAATGGGGTAACTCTTAAAGAATATTAAGGAGTCAAACTTGAGACAGTGCTTTTTTCAGGGGCTGGGGTGTAAAAATCTCAACTTCTTTGCACCTTGAAAATCTTCATTTTAGTGTATATGTCAATGGTTGAAGCTCCACTCCTTTGGGAATGTTATTTAACTTACCTGAATTATTGGGGGTGAGGACTCCTATTTGACCTGAATCCCCACCACTTAGGGATGGTCTGAAAGAAAAAATCCCCTGTCTGGAGGAGGCAGATGAAGGTCTAAGGAAGGGAAATAAAAGCATCAGTAGAGAAAAGGAAAGGTTAAAGTAAAAACCATGTGTAAAGGAAGAGCCTATACATTTAAACCAGAGAGGAAATGAATCCCCTGCTTGCAACTCAGAATACAATTAAGTAATTCAGATGTATATTAGACACAGTACTGTTCAACCTTCTCTTTTGTTTACAAGGTAGATTATAAGCTTCAGTGGTATAGGCCAGTGGAGAAGTAACCACAGGGCTGCTGGCAGAATGTCAGTGGGAACAGATCTCAAGTGAAAGGAAGCAGTATTACTTACCTATAAGATAGGCTGTGAGTGGAAGCTGGTGAAGGGGTTTCTGAAAAGCATAAAGATGAGCCTATGAGATAATTCATGAACCAAGAAGAGATCCAGGTATTCTGGGGGCCAGGGCAAAGGAACAGGGGATCAAAGATTTTGGTATATATATTAGACTTGGGGGCTAATGGCAAGTGAAAAAGCCCACAAGTCACCTAGCAGTGGATCATAAAGGTGCTTTCCTCGCCCTTTCATGAGTTTATGGGCAAGGATCCATCACTGCCTTGATGCGTTCTAATGTATCTGTGCCTTGGTTTCCCCTCTAAGGTGAAGATTATCAGAAAGAATGGCTAAAGACAAAGGGTCTTTAAATTGGCTGGGAGTGACAGCAGTAAAAATGTAGAGTAAGGACCTCCACAGATTCTCTCCATAAAAGGAATGAGAAAACTGGCAAAAATTGTCAGAATCAACTTCTTCAGAATTCTGGAAATTAACAAAGGGCTTTTAGCAATCTGGGGAATGTTTATTCCAGAAAAATAGCTGAATGTGAGTAAGAACAGTGAGCTTTGTGACATTTTAACTTGCCCTATTCCCATTTCTCCCTCTCCAGCTCCATGGTAGCCTTGAAAATCAACAGTTTGGCAGTCATCATAGGGGATGAAATGGGGTTGGAGCTCTTTCAAAACCTCATTCCCAGAGAATTGTCATACTTGACCTGCCTAGTTGTTCACTGGAAGACTTCACTTGCAAGGCTGCCTTTATTTGACCTGACTTGGAGCCAAACTTACCAGGACTTGGAGCTTAAGAGTTCACCAAGTGTGAAAAGCTTTTTCCCCAGGAGTGTTTGTTGCAAATAATTAGAGGCACTTGTTTAGCCTGCCTGAGAAGGTGAATATCAGTTGGGGCAAACAATAGGCTAACCAAAAAGCATAAAAGGAAAAGCTGTGGAATGACCTGTCCACCGGGATTTTGAAAAGGAACAACAAGTTCTTGGGAATCTAGGCCATGTGCATGCACAGGGCTGTGTGCATGCTCAGTAAAGATTGAAAAGGCTCTAAGCTCTCACCTTGGGACTACCTTGAGGTCATACAAGCAGAAAGTGAAGGCTAAGGCACAGTCGTCAGCTGCATGTTGAAGGTACACCCCAACACACAGTCCCTCAGCAAACACTGAGGGATTTATTGGTACTAGGTGTTTAAGGAAAGCTCTGTCCAATCATTAGCTGAACACTAAGCTAACCAAATAGACACTTCGGTGGCCACACGAGAAAGAATACAGATTTTACAGAATCAGTTTTAGAAAGTCACTAAACAAACAATGACAAACAGCAACAACAACAAACCTTGGGAAGGGAGGAAGTATCTGATTCTTAGAGTTGCCATGCTATATTATTTAGCTGTCCAGTTTTCAACAAAAAATTATGAGGCATGAAAGAAACAAGAAAGTATGATCTATGTAAAGGAAAAAAGCACAAGCAATAGAAACTGTCCTTGAGGAAGCTCAGATACATTGGATTTTAAAGACAAAGACTTTAAACCAGCGGTTCTTTTTTTTTTTTTTTTGGCCACGTTGACAGGCATGCGGGATCCTAGTTCCCCGAACAGGGATCGAACCCATATCCCCTGCAGTGGAAGCACAGTCTTAACCACTGGACTGCCAAGGAAGTCCCTAAATCAGCTATTTTAAACATGTTCAGTTAGCTAAAGGAAACCATGTCTAAAGCACTAAACAACAGTATGAGAATGGTCTCATCAAATAGAGAACACTAATAAAGAAATATTATATTAAAAAGAAGCAAATATAAGTTCTGGAATTGAAAAGTACAATAACTAAAATGTAAACTTCACTAGAGATATGAGCTGTCAGAAAAAAGAATCAGCAAACTTGAAGATAAATCAATTGAGATTATCCAGTATGAAGAAGAGAAAGAAAAAGGAATGAAGAAAAATGAACAAAGCCTCAAAGACCTTGGTGGAATACCATCAAGCACACCAGCATGTGCAAAATGGGAGTTCCAGAAGGAGAACAGAGAGGACCAAGGGCAGAAAGAATTATCTGAAGAAATAATGGCTGACAACTTCCCAAATTAGATGAAAACATTAATCTATACATCCAAGAAGCTCAACAAATCCCAAAGAGGATAAATCAAAGAGATCCGCACCTAGACTCATCATAAACTGTTGAAAGCTAAAGGCAAAAAAAGCAACTTGAAAGCAGCAAGAGAGAAGCCATTCATCACATGAAAGGGATTCTCAATAAAATTGGCACTGATTTCTCCTCAGAAACCATGGAGGCCAGAATATAGGAGGATAACGTATTCAAAATGCTGAAAGACTGTCAATCAAAAATTTTAAATCCAGCAAAACTATCCTTCAAAAATGAAGGAGAAATTAAGACACTCCCAGATGAGTGTCAAAATTAAGAGAATTCATCACTACCAAACCTGCTTTACAAGAAATACTAAAGAGAGTCCTTCAAGCTTAAGTGATAGGACACTGGACAGTAACTCAAATCTACATGAAGAAATAATAAAGATCACTGGTAAAGATAACTACATTGATAAACATAAAAGTATAAGTGTATTTTTGTAACTTCCTCCTATCTGATTTAAAAGACAACTGCATAAAACATAATTATAAATTTATGTTGAGGAGAACACAATTTTTAAAGATATAATCTATATAATAACAGCACAATAGAATGGAGAGGGGAATGGAACTATATAGGAGAAAAGCTTTTGTACACTGTTGAAATTAAGTTTGGTATAATCTGAACTAAATTGTTATAAATTATGATGTTAATTATGATGTTGATCCCTAAGAAAATAACAAAAAATACAGTGAAAGAAACAAGAGAGGAAGTAAAATGGTACACTAGAAAATAGCTGTTTAACACAAAAGACAGCAAAAATGGAGGAAGTGAGGAACAAAACATACATAAGACATATAGAAAACAGGGACTTCCCTGGTGGTCCAGTGGTTAAGAATCCACGCTTCCACTGTAGGGGGCACAGGTTCAATCCCTGGTCGGGGAACTAAAATCCCACATGCTGTGTGGTGTGGCAAAAAAAAAAAAAAAAAGACACATAGAAAACAAATAGCAAAATGGCAGAAGCAGTCTTTCCTTATTAATAATTACGTTAAATGTAAATGTATTAAACTCTCCAATTAAAAGGCAGAAACTGGCCAAATGGTGAAAAAAGATCCAACTATACATCGTCTATGAAAGACTCACTGTAAATTCAAAGACACATATAGGTTTAAAGTAAAAGGATGGAAAAAGATATTCCACGCAAACAGTAAACAAAAGAGAGCTGGAATGGGTAATATCAGACAAATGCACTTTAAGACAACATTGTTACTAGAGACAAAGGTCAAAATGATAAAAGGGTCAACCCATCAAGAAGATATAACACTTATATATGCACTTAAAAACAAAGTCCTAAAATACATGAAGCAAAAACTGACAGAATTGAAGAGAAAAATAGATAATTCAACAATAATAGAGCTTTCAATACCCCACTTTCAATAATGGATAAAACAGCAAGACAGAAGATCAGCAAGAAAACAGAAGATTTAAATGGCACTATATACCAACTAAATCTAACAGATATCTATAGAACACTCCACCCAACAACAGCAGAATACACATTCTTTTCAAGTGTACAGGGAACTTTCCCCAGGATAGACAATGTTTTAGGCTATAAATTTAAAAGGATCTAAACCATACAAAGTATGTTGTTCAACAACAATGAAATGAAATTAAAATCAATTAACAGGAGGAAATTTGGGAAATTAACAATTATGTGGATAATCAACACTGCTAAGTAACTAATGGGTCAAAGAAAAGAAAATCACAGAAGTTAGAAAATACTTTGAGATGAATGAAAACAAAAACACAACATACTAAAACTTAAAAGGATGCAGTGAAAGCAGTGCTCAGAGTGAAATTTATAACTGTAAAGGTCTATATTAAAAAAGCAGATCTCAAGTCAATAATGCTACTGTCCACTTTAAGAAACGAGGAGAACTAAACCCAAAAGCAGATGGAAAGAAAATGATTAGGGCAGAAAAAAATGAAATAGAGAATAGAAAAATAATAGAGAAAAATCAAGAAAACTAAAAGTTGGTTCTTTGAAATGATAAACAAAATTGACTAATCCTGTGGGGTGAGGGGCAGGATAAATCTGGAGGCTGGGATTAACACATACATACTACTATGTATAAAATAGATAACCCTGGTGGTGCAGTGGTTAAGAATCCGCCTGCCAGTGCAGTGGACGTGGGTTCGAGCCCTGGTCTGGGAAGATCCCACATGCCGCAGAGCAACTAAGCCCGCACACCACAGCTACTGAGCCTGCGCTCTACAGCCCGCAAGCCACAACTACTGAGCCCACGTGCCACAACTACTGAAGCCTGCGCACCTGGAACCCATGCTCCACAACAAGAAAAGCTACCGCAATGAGAGCACCACAACGAAGAGTAGCCCCTGCTCACCACAACCAGAGAAAGCCCGCGTGCAGCAACGAAGACCTAGCGCAGCCAAAAATAAATAAATTAAAAAAAAAACCAGATAACCAACAAGGACCTACTGTATAGCACAGGAAACTATACTCAATATTATATAATAACTTATAAGGGAAAAGAATCTGAAAAAATATATGTATATATAGATTCAGTTATATAAATATACATACATATGTATGTATATGTCTGTATTGGGTTGGCCAAAAAGTTCATTCGCTTTTTTTCTGGAAGATGGTACATACATATATATATATATATATATATATATATATGTATCTCAATTGCTGTGCCGTACACCTGAAACTTAGATGATATTGTAAATCAACTATACTTTAATTTAAAAATTTTTTAAAAATAAACTTCCTTTTTAGAACTGTTAAAAAATTGGACTAATCTTTAGCCAGGCTGTCCAAGAAAAAAGAAGAAAGCCCCAAATAACTAAAATCAGAAATAAAAGAGAGTATTACTACTAACCTGACAGAAATAAATTGGCTAGAGCACCTAGTTTTTCAAAGGGGTGAAGATGAAAGAACTGGAGGGAGGCTATTTGGTGAATTTCAAAAATGGTTATCCAGGAAGAGATCTGTGAATTTCAAAACTGCCTCTTGGGAAAGAAAGGGAAATCCTCTCCAAGTATACTCTATGGACTGACTAATGCCTTGAAAAACAGTAATAATAGTAATAGTTCTAAGGGGAAAGAGACAAGAAATTACGTAGGTGGAACCAAAATATTTCTTCACTGGAATATTTTTGTGTTTGATACACAGTGAAGAAGCCAGACACCCTTCAGGCTAACATAATTGGCATCTAGTTAATCTTTCTTTTAGATCTAACTTCTACTGCCATCTTGTGGCAATTAAAATCCAGGTCAATTATTTTAAAAGTTACTCTCCAGTCTCCTGACCAGAGGGTTTCAATGACTTTCTAATACTCAAGTTTCAATTTTCCCCTTATCAGTTTGAGAACAGAAATATCATTACTTGAAAAGTTGTATCTGGATACCTGGAACCACCTTCTGGAGAAAAAGTAAAATGGCATTATATTATGCACAGAAAACCAGAAATCTGCTGGTATCTGCTCAGAATGTGTTGGCTTCTGACTCCTTCCCCTACACTGCCCCTCTCACCAGTAAAAGAGTCTCTTGGAGTGCTCCTTCCCTGCAGCGCTCTGGCTCCCTGAGGGACAAATAATAAACATTAATAAATATATCCCAGGGCTTCCCTGGTGGCGCAGTGGTTGAGAGTCCGCCTGCCGATGCAGGGGACACGGGTTCCTGCCCCGGTCCGGGAGGATCCCACATGCCGCAGAGCGACTAGCCCCGTGAACCATGACCGCTGAGCCTGTGCGTCCGGAGCCTGTGCTCCGCAACAGGAGAGGCCACAACAGTGAGAGGCCCGCGTACCGCCAAAAAAATAATAATAATAAAATAAATAAATAAATAAATAAATATATATATATATATATATATATATTTATTTATATATATATATATATATATCCCGATTCTCTGGCTTCCATATTTCATGCTATGGCTATACACTGAAGTGTATGTTTTTCTCCCAGAGTGGGTACGTGACTCCAGGAAGGATCCACACTTTATTCCTTCCAAAATGAACATGATGGACACTGTTAATGCAGTCCACTATTTTCACCCCTATTCATTCCGAGTCATGAATTAGGTCAGCTTCTAACATCAGGTCTGAATTGCTGAAAGAGAGTCCAGGCATGGCATCAGATAATTCATGCCAAAATCAATATAAGTTTAATATTCTTGCTTTAATCTTGGCTTTCATTTAGCATTAGAAGTCTCAATCTGAAAAGATAATGTGAATATTTCTTACCTGTCCCAAGTTACTAAAGCCAGCCCCTCTATAAAGGATAGATTCCACTGAGGAGGACCGACTGTATAAGGCAAAACAAAAAGGAAAAAACAAACCTGGTATTAAACTTTTACACAGACATAAAGTCTCCTCAGTCCCTGTCTCAGCCGTATCTAGGCATTTCTTTCATCTTGATCTTTTGCCAACAGTTCTAATGCTGCTGTGTAGCTTTCTACTCACCTGACCACTTGGCTGCTATGCTGAGAACTGGGTCGTGGAGTAACTGAAAGGGAATAAAATGCAGAATGAAAAGTTGCCATCAATGGTGTGCCCTGCCTTGCCTAGCCTACATGTTGCAAGTGAGTGTCCAGGAGTATGGCCTTTGCATATCATACATAAGATTCGGAAAATCACATTATACTTTCTGAGAGGAAACCATCTTCCATATGGGATAAGGATATTTACTCATCTCACACAGATATTTGGGCAAAACATGGTCTCTACCTGACTGTGATGGAGAAGTAATGCCCACTGGTCGAGGTGTGGTTGACCTGCAAGGAAAAAAAAAAAAAAAAAAGAAAGGCAGCTCTATTTTCTCTAAGCAGAACTTAGTGCCACCTTAGAGGATCAATCAGGTCATTATTTACAGAAATAACAGCCTTCTCTCTGAGCACAAATTGCTTACTAATCATGTATTACAGGTATCAGCCCAAAATACAGAGGCAAGCTTTCCATATGGGACTCCTTGGCTCTCCAATTCCCTAAACGAAATCTTCTCCACTTCTCTATTGCCCATAATAGAAGTTCTGAAGTCCTTCTTTCTTCCTTCCCATAGTGCCTTACCAGGTACTCTCAACTTTACATATATCTATCCATCTGTCCATCCATTCATACATCTGCCATTCCCTCACTCCCTCCATCCCCTCTTCCATCTACCCACAGACATTTATTTAGTGCTCATAAGTCTTAGATCCTGAACTTACAAAGATAACTAGAATATGGTTCCTATTTTTGAGAGGCTCACAGGCTAGTGGGAGAGACAAAAAGAAAAAGAGCAACATAAGTGTTATAATGGGTATGTCAGAAGTATGGAAGTATGATAGAACACTATACTTTAGCTTCTGTGAGTCAGGGGCCATGTCTTTTTAATCCACCAATGCAGAGCTGATATTAAAAATATATAATAACTGGTAGGGTACAGACATTTACAATTAGAATAATCGGTGATGTACACCCAACACCTAACACAGTGCTTCACAAACAGTAAGTACTTAATGAATATTTATTGAATAAATGAATAATAGAACATCTAACTCTGCCTAATAAAGTGCTGACAGAGGAAATGACACATGAGTTCAATTTTGAGGGGTGAATAGGATTTCATAAGGTGACGGTCAAGGGTGAGCATTCATCCAAGATTTTAGTTCAGCACTTTTCAGTAAGGAGCTCTTTTTTGGAGAAGTGAAAAATGAATTCATAAACCATTCCCTCCACCGCAGAGCCCACACAGGAGCTACAGCCAAGTGCCAAGAAAGGATAGAATTCACTTTGCTGTACAGCAGAAACTAACACAACATTGTAAAGCAACTATACTCCAATTAAAAAAAAAAAAAAAGGAAAGGATAGAAATTTTCAAAGAGGGATGGTATGGGGCCTGATAAAACTGACCTGCTTCCTTGGTACCAACTTGGAGATTCCTGTAGGTGAAAAAAATGGGAGTGAAGGAAGCTGTAGCTCAGTGGTCCCAATCAATGGATCTTACTTGTCAGATAGCTAAGCTGCAATGTCCTCTAGTTGTGGTTACTAAGATGCCCAATAGAAGAAAAAACAGCAACAGTGAGTGTTTCCTCAGAAAATTATTTGCTTTGGGGGGAGAAAATTTTAGTTCCTCTTCACAAAAACACATTGGGAATCCTGTAGACTGATACATGTGGGGAAATATAGAGAGTCTATGGGGAGAGCAAGGAAAATGACAGGATTACAATGTGCTAGAAGAGTTACAAGAGTAAGATCAAAAGGAACATTATATAAACACAAAGGACAATCTTGGGAAGAGACAAATGTCCAGGAAATAGAGTTTGAGGGACAGGAAAGGTCCTGAGGTGCCTTGGGATTCTTGAAGACAAATTTTAAGTTACCACAGATATCTCTTCTATAAGAGAGCTTCCCATGTGTTATGGCATGGACTCCCTGATATTCGAGAATAGGTTACCACTGTGCTAGATTTTGTCCTTTCATCCCTCCAAGGTCTTCTGTGGCCTCGTCCATTTACTACAGTGTGCTTGCTGTACAACTGTTATCAATATTACCAGCCATGATGTGAAAAAGGTTAGGAAACACTAATTCTATTCAGTCAGCTAGATAGATGGGCCAAGTAAGAGAGAAAATAATAGTATGGAAAATCTATTTCATTCACCTTTAGGATGGCTAGCAATTTCTTCAGTTCTCCATTCTCTTTCCTTAAGACTGACAGCTCTCTAGGCAAAAGATGGAAAAAGAAACAATCAGCTCCAGCAGGTCAGTGGGATAAAAAACCTGATTTTTATTATCGACATCTAGTTAATGCTTCCGGAGAGATACTTGCCACTATACAAGGTATTTCTGTCAGAGATCTGGTGATTCAGGGGGGCAATGGCAGGGTTTTGGTGGTGAGAAGAATCAGGTGGACAAAATAAACAGTCACTTGGTACGATTTCAGAAGTTTACACAGAACTGCATTTTCTCTCCACACATTTTCCCCTGGCCTGCTGCTGTCTGAAAATTTCCATCAGGGATTCCATCTTTTAGCTTAAGATTTCCAAAAGAACATGGACTTCCCTGGTGGTGCAGTGGTTAAGAATCTGCCTGCCAATGCAGGGGACATGGGTTCAATCCCTGGTCTGGGAAGATCCCACATGCTGTGGGGCAACTAAGCCCATGCGCCACAACTACTGAACCTGCACTCTAGAGCCCATGAGCCACAACTACTGAGCCTGTGTGCCACAACTACTGAGCCCATGTGCCACAGCTACTGAAGCCCGTGTGCTCTAGGGCCCACGTGCTGCAACTACTGAAGCCTGCGCGCCTAGAGCCCATGCTCTGCAACAAAAGAATCCACCGCAATGAGAAGCCCCAACACCACAATGAAGAGTAGCCCCCGCTTGCTGCAACTAGAGAAAGCCTGCGTGCAGCAACAAAGACCCAACGCAGCCAAAAAAAAAAAAAAAGAACCAAAACACACCCTCCTAGAGGTAACATTTTAAATCTTCCATCATTATTACTGTGAAAAAGTCATGTCCGATTTCTCTGAAGTAGTTTTCGACAGATGGAAGTAAAAGGGGAAAGCTATAAAGTAGGGAAGGTCCCTTGAGGGAAGAAAGAGAAAAATAAAATGGAGATTGAGAGACCAAAAATTCTGTACCTGACTTAACCAAGACAAACATAAACACACATGGAGCAATTTTTAGGCTTTGGAACCATAAGGAAATAAGGGCTACAGCTTCTATGAGAAGAAAAAGGCTCTCTGGTGATTTCATTCGTCACTTACTTGTCCTGGTTAGTCAGTGTTTGCTGTGCCTCCTGCGTGGCTGCTTCTAACTTGGTAATTCTATGCTTATAAAAGGCGATGAGGAGATCTGTTTGCTTCTTCTGGAAACTCCACACCTACTAGGGAAAAACAGACCTTTGACATACAACCCCCATAACTCCTTTCCCCTTACTTGTAGCAACAAATGGAAACCCATCAATTCATACTCTATTACTGATCATTTTCTTCTGGAGCATCTGACCTAATTCATGATTCCCCAAAACTAGGGAAAGCCAAAGCTTTTCATTTCCAGAAAAGTGCCTTCCTAATATCTTAATGAGAACATTCTGACATAGAATGACCCTTTAAAAATGTAACCATTCGGGCTTCCCTGGTGGCGCAGTGGTTAAGAGTCCGCCTGCCGATGCAGGGGACACGGGTTCGTGGCCCGGTCCGGGAAGATCCCACATGCCGCAGAGCGGCTGGGCCCGTGAGCCATTGCCGCTGAGCCTGCGCGTCCGGAGCCTGTGCTCCGCAACGGGAGAGGCCACAACAGTGAGAGGCCCGCGTAACGCAAAAAAAAAATAAAAAAATAAAAAAAAATAACCATTCATCTTGAGCAAGAAGTGACAACCAAAAAAATGTTTCCAAGCTTAGAACTGGTTCTGACCTTACTTGTTTACTATTAGCTTGGACTCAGCTTCCACATTCCTAGCTCTACAGAGCACTGGTAACCAATTTACTTTCCCTAAGATACTCACACATAGACACTTGTAGGCTGTTTATGTTGCTACAGTAAAGGGCAAAGAGGCACAGAAGGAGATTTACCTATTCCTGAATTTTATTTCTGGCCATGGGTAAATAATTTTATCTTTTGCTTTAATTTACCATTTGATATACTGATGTGCCTATCATGGGATTACTGAATCAGATCAAAAGTTAATATGTGGAAAGTATTTTAGCTTTGTCAGGTTCTACTTTTGAATACACAGCAGTATTCAGGTCTCGTTTGTTTCCTCCCTACTCACACCGTAAACCTTTTTTCTTAGGTCCTTCCTAGATCTGGTACTTTTGTCATAAACTTTTTGTTCTCATTTAATTTGCAAGTTGCTTTTGCCACCTTACTAAAGAATTCTACTTCCGAATTTATATAGTCTCTACACTCTTTCCTTTCTACTCAAAAGCAAACTAAACTAATTCTACACAGATAAGAATTCACTGTAATCTATTTTTTTAAATTTATTCTTGTTTTCAATAAAAGTAAAACATATTCATTTTAGAAAATTTGAACAATGCAGAAGCAGAAAAAAGGCACTCAATCCTGGGAGTTATCTAAAATGGCAAAGGGTTGGCGAGCAATAGATACTATGGATAGATACAATATATAGCCAAGAGACCTACTAACCTACGTGCCAAAACTACTTTGGTGCTCAAAGAGATTTGAGCAAAAAAGAATCCTAAAAATGCTTCCTTATCAAAAGCAAGGGGACCTCCCTGGTGGTCCAGTGGTTAAGACTCCACGCTTCCACTGCAGGGGGCACAGGTTCGATCCCTCGTCGGGGAACTAAGATCCTACAAGCCACGTGGCACAGCCAGGGAGTTAAGTTTTGGGTTGCACAGTTTGTGATCAAAGCCTCTCACACTGGGGCTTAAGGTTCCTCGACCTGCTCAGTAGTGATAAAGAACTCAGCTACACTGTTTCAGAAGTCTTAAAAACTGACAGATAAACTTTTTCTTTTCAGGTAAAATAATCTTCAACTAAATAAAACCTTTCTTCAAAGGCACCATTGATTATCTCAGCTGTTCAGTCTTTAAATTCAAGTGAGGGATGGGAAACTGATCTGATCTATTTATGAGATCAGGTCTTGACCTGATTTTACTCAAACGATTTATATGGTAGTTATTTAAGTATGTTAGCAAAACATATGATTTCCCAGTCAGCCAACTAATGATCAGGGCCAGCTGCCTGTATTTGTAAATAAAGTTTTACTGGAATACAGTCATACCCATTTGTTTACAGATTGCCTGTGGCTGTTGTTCTGTGCTACAGCAGCAGAGTTGAGTAGCTGCAACAGAGGTTGCATAGCCTGCAAAACCTAAAGTATTTACTAACCTTTCAAGAAAAAGTTTGTCAGTCCCAACATTAAATTTATGAAAGTCTTTCTTGGGCTTCCCTGGTGACGCAGTGGTTAAAAATCAGCCTGCCAATGCAGGGGACACAGGTTCGAGCCCTGGTTGGGGAAGATCCCCCATGCCGCGGAGCAACTAAGTCTGTGCGCCACAGCTACTGAGCCTGAGCTCTACAGCCCGAGAGCCACAACTACTGAAGCCCGCATGCCTAGAGCTCGTGTTCCACAACAAGAGAAGCCACTGCAATGAGAAGCCCGCACACCACAACCAAGAGTAGCTCCTGTTCACCACAACTAGAGAAAGCCCGCGTGCAGCAACGAAGACCCAATGCAGCCCAAAATAAATAAATAAATTCATTTTTTAAAAAAGTCTTTCTCTGTATTTTTGTTTATCTTTTTCTTTTTTTTTGGCTGCGCCATATGGCATGTGGGATCTTCGTTCCCCAAGCAGGGATCAAACCCATGCCCCCTGTATTGGGAGCGCAGAGCCTTAACCACTGGCCCACCAGGGAAGTCCCTCTGTATTTTCATTTGTGCCTTTTGCTCTGAATTTGTCTTTCTTTGTGAACCTATATCTTTCCCTCTCTTTCTCTCAACCTCTTCTCTCTCTTTATTTCCTACTCTATTTGATGCTTGATGTTGTCTGTTCTTCCTATTTGTATTTACTTAATGGACATTTATGTTACTTCTTCTTAATTTTAAAGTGGATGGGCCCAACAAAATGGGAGAAAATGTTTGCAAATCACATATGTGGTGAAGGACTTGTACCTAGAATATATAAAGAACTCTTACAACTAATAAAAAGACAATCCGACTTAAAAATGGGCAAAGCATTTGAATAGATATTACTTCAAAGATGACAAACAAATAGCCAATAAGCACATGAGAAGATGCTCAACAACATTAATCATCAGAGAAATGCAAATCAAACCCACACCGAGATAGCACTTCACACCACTAGGATGATTATTATTAAAAAAAGACAGATAAAACAAGTGTTGGTGAGGATATGGAGAAATCAAAACCCTCATACACTGCTGGTAAAAATGTAAAATGTGCAAGCACTTGGGAAAACAGTCTGGCAGTTCCAAAAGTTAAACATAGAGTTACCATTTGATCCAGTGATCTAATTCCTATGTATATATCCAAGAGAAATGAATATATGTCCACACAAAAACTTGTATACAAATACTCATAGCAGCATTATTCATAATAGCCAAAAAGTGGAAATAACCTAAATGTCCCTCAATGGATGAATGAATACGTGAAACGTATATCCAGCTATATAATGGATTATTATTTGGTCATAAAAAGGAATAAAGTACTAATGAAGTTCTAATACATTCTACAACATGGATAAACCTTGAACACATCATGCTAAGGGAAAGCAGTGCAGGATTCAGACAATAAATAAATTATATAATGTTAGAGATAAGACCTATGATGAAAAATAAAGCAGGGTAAGAAGTAGACTTGGGGCTGCTATTTGAGATATGAGAGTCAGTAAAGGTCTGACTGAGGAAGAAAAATATGAGCAGAAGCCTGAACGAGACAATCTAGACATTACTTGGATCAGTTATTCAACTTCACAGATTGGGAAAACACATTTTCAGACATTGCTGACTTCACCAAACGGGCACTTCACTACAGTGATGATTAACTGACCCTTTTCATGTATTTTATCTTGATTACTTGACCATGTGTATTTGGTCCCATGATTAGGCAGGGTAGAATTCAGACTACATATAATTTCTCTCCTGATCATTAACTAACTCTTGGTTTAGTTATTAACCAAAGCTCTGCTCTTTCTCTTGTTCATGTGACCTTGTTTACATTTCTCCTTGAGTCTCAGCTGGATTTTATCTCCCCATAATGTTAAATAGTATCTCAAATATGACGGTTCACCCAAGCAGCTAAAAGCAGGATGCAGTGAAAGCTTTAATTTCCCTTCCTCTATCTCCAGAGTCAGGATTGAGGGGGAGACACCAAAGAAAAATTAAACCTACTGTCTTCAGCCAAACATGACAAAGGACCATCTTCACGTTTAATAAAAAAATATTCTCGTAAGAACGAGGAGAGTAGAGAAGAAAAATAGTGATAAAATCTCAAGAAATGTGCCCAGATAGCAATCCCATGAGGCTATGAAATGATCTTGGTGGAGAACTGGAGAGTGGAAAGGAAAAACCAAAGTTTTTAGAATTTGGGAACTTTCTCAAATGGTTGTCCTGTCTCCTCTTCACTTCCTTCCACAATTCTATTGCTCCTGACCAAGTCAATGGCATGACAACATATCATGCATCAGGAAAAGAAAAATATCTTCCAAAATTCAGGCAACCTATTATAAATACTAACTGAAGAATTAAATATATATGTGTTGCTAAGAGAGGTTATTGAAAAATAAGAGTGGAGAACAAGAAATCCGTTTTTGAACTTAGGTCTATAAGCAAAAGCTTGAAAGTTTGGCTACTAAATCCATTGTTTGCAGGGTCAGGCCTGTATATTCAAAGCAATTTTTAGAAGATTCATTAAATGTGCGAAGAAAGAAGACAAAGATCTCTAGAACCTTTTTTATCCTCAAAAATTACTAAATAGAACTAGGAACCACAAGGCAAGATGTCAGCTACATAGTAGTTTTTACAGCCTATCACAGATTCTGGGTGAGTAAAAAGTTAACTGTTGAGATTTGTATCATCAGGGAAGAAAGCAAACAGGGCAGCCAATTTCTCCCCATTGTATACAAATATATGAATGCAGTTTAAAGAGAACCTCTGGAAAAGAAATAAGATGCATTTATAACTTGCCTGGAAAATCAGGTTTTCTTCACTTTTATTTCTCATACCTGAGAGATGTGACTAAAATACTGCAAAGCTGTCTCCACAGGGCTTTTGAAGTACATCTTCTCCTGAGGTTTCAGCTATGAAGAGAGTAAGACACATCCACAATGGAATGAAATAAAATACAGGCAAATATGGTTAAAGACATAGCACCCTTTCTAAAGCAACCAGGTATTATTTCACTGTGCTAAAAGGGCGATCACTATTGCGCTAGGAGATGTAGACTACATATCCTAATCCTTCTTACCTCATGCTTCTGTGATAGCAGTCACAAATCCACAAATAATTCTTTTATCTCTAGTTTACCTCCTTTTTTTTTCAATTGCTATCTACACGTTTTGTTTGTTCCTTTTTTTAAAAAAAATTTTCAGTTTTTTTTTTTGGCCATGCCACGTGGCTTGCAGGATCTTAGTTCCCTGACCAGAGATTGAACCTAGGCCCCCACGGTGAAAGCCCCAAGTCCTAACCACTGGACCACCAGGGAATTCCCCCAAAATTTCAGTTCTTAGCCACTGTATTCTTTGTATAGTTCCTACACACCAGGAATGGGATAAGATTGTTTGTGACGGGGAGGAAAAACTTACATTATCAGAAAGAGCCAGATACTTGCAGGCAGTTCCACAAACAGCACATTTATCTAGCGGGGAAAGGGGAAAAAAATGTTTGGTTCTCATGGGCATGAGGTAAGATTTTCCTAAAGTACATGATAACAGTCAAGTAGGCTAGCTAATGAAAAGAGGGTTCTTACTGAATTCAAAATGTCATTGTGCTATAAAAGGACATCGACTTGAGCTCCATTCTCGAAATCAGTGTTTCCAAACTTGTATGTTGATGAGAAGTAAGGCTTTCACACTGTACCTCTACCCATCTCCCTTTTTATAAATTCTCAGTTTTCTTCTGCAGGTGAGGGACAGTAGCCTCCCAGCAGGAGTACAGGAGTGTACATTTACTAGAGTCTGGGAAGAGTACCAAAGATCTCAACTTTAAGTTATTATTTTTTATTCTATCTACCAGACAGTAGGCACACATTAGGCACCATAAGAAACTCTCCAATTATTCCTGCCTTGTTCTCACCTTGCTAATATTCCTGGATATTGTTTTGAAGCTCTCCTACTCTCATTCTCTAATTAACCCAATCTGAAAGATGTGGAAATTAAAATTACTAATCTTCCTGTGAAGTTAAAATTTTAGTACTGGTGCTGGTTATTGATTAAGATAAATGCCATGTCCGGAGAAAACGTCACATGACATATGCTTCACTGAGACAAACTGCTCCAAAGTGAGCTGCTGTTACCATAGTAATAGCTTTGTTACATTAGCAGATAACTTTAAAGGGTCATGAGATTCACATAGAGAAAAAGCTTCTCCAGAGGCTACCTAACCTGACTCTTCTTTCCTTGGGGATGAAGTTTTTCCCCGTCTTCCTTCCATATTATTATCAGAGTGAGCTAGCAAGTGCAAATCATTCTTCTATTTAAGAAAAAGACAAGACAAAGAAACTTCCACAGCTCTCCATCACCTGCAGGATAAAGTTCAGGTTCTTTAGCCTGGTATATAGAGCCTTCCATCATATGGCCACTACCTACCACTCCAGCCTCATCTCTCACCATTTCTTACTTTATTCTTTTATGCTCTACCAATCCCAACCACATGTACTTCCCTGTACTAAGTTTAATGATGTTGTATTCCTTTACACATGCTGTTCTCTTAAACCAGAATGACCTTCCCTGCCTAATTCACTTGGCAGACTCCAGTTTATTACTCAAAACTCTATTGAAACAACACCTCTTCTATGAAATTTTCCCTGATCAAAACATCTTAAGTCCCTCTTCTGGACCTACTACCCAGAATACATACCTACAGAATATAATACATACCTTGTAAGTATTTTAGCATTAAGAAAAAAAAGACACACCTTAAATTTGTCTCTTCTAAGACTTAACAGCTGCAAGAACTTGGTCAAATCACCTATTTGAACCAGCTCCTCATTTGTAAAATGGGTCTACTAATAATTACCTCCTGGGATTGTGGTGAGGATACATAAAACTGGTACACATGAAAATACTTTTTAAACCACAAAGGTATCACCCAGCACTATCACCATCGTCAACATTTCTAATTAAATTGATTTCACAGATTATATTACTTCCCATTAGAAATAGCTCTTGTTATCAACCACTTTCCCAATTTCTATTCATTATTTTTATTTTTTCTCTTTCCTCTAATCAGTCTGATAACCTTGTGGCTTTCCCTGCCACAGGCTTCAGAACACTGACAAGCACCTTTTGATGTTCAAGTAATAGATAGTCCATTTGCTAAATCATTCCTTTTAATGGATTCCTCCGATTTTCATAATCAACAGTTTCCTATTATACCCACACCACCTTCCGCCTACTAAGTGATTTTTATTCCAAGTTACACAGAGAAATGGTTAATCATTATTTCTAGGTTAAAAACATTTTTGCCTGAATCTGAAAACAGTTAAATCACTCACCCAGAGTCAAACACTTTTTACAGAAAATATGGCCACAGCTGGTGACAAAGAAATGGGCCCCATCTTTTTGGAAACACAGGTTGCAGTGAAACCAATCCATTCTGCAGCAGAGAAAGAGAATAACCTGGGGCATAACATAATTATAGCTGTTCCAAAGTCTACTTAACAATGTTTGCTTAGTTTCTGCTAACTTATTGGGATGTGGGCATATTATTGTGGGTATTTCAATTGGATGTGAGGAAGTACATATACCTCTGAAGTAAAAAAAGCAGACTGCAGACTATGCTATGCAATTTTCTAAAGAGAAAAATTATACATATTTAGAAGAGTAATAGGACAATGATGATTTTTTTTGAATGGTGAGATCATGTGTATGTGTGTGTGTGTGTGTGTGTTGCCTTTACACTTTTTTTGTTTTCTAAATTTTCTGGATTAATTCAGGCACTAATTTGTAATTAGAAAAAACAATCCTAAAAAAAAATCTATTTCTTTCCTAATAGTTTCCTGTGATACAGCAAGATGGAGCAAGGAGAAGGTAGTGGACCAAATATACAAGATCACATATTAGCCATTTGGGACACATTTTATCTAATGGAAACATTATTTATGCATGATGTCTCAGCTTTTCACATTTCCTTCTACTCCATAGAAACTCAGAATCATAGAACTGGAAGCGATCTTGAAAATCATTTAACATTTTTTCCAATCCCATCATTTTTCAAAAGATGTATCTGATATTCACTGAAATGTAAGGTTTTAAATGAAGAAACTGACATAAAAAATACAGAGCTGAGGGCTTCCCTGATGGCGCAGTGGTTGACAGTCCGCCTGCCGATGCAGGGGACACGGGTTCGTGCACCGGTCCGGGAAGATCCCACATGCCGCGGAGCGGCTGGGCCCGTGAGCCATGGCCGCTGAGCCTGCGCGTCCGGAGCCTGTGCTCCGCAACGGGAGAGGCCACAACAGTGAGAGGCCCGCGTACCG